TGAATGTCTCCTCCACTAATCTGGGTTGACAGGTCTCGAGAATCCCCATTGCATGCTGCCAGTGTCAACGCTACCCATTAATGTTCATTCTTCCGTCATTCTCACTTATTTATGATGCAATTATTTCCAGAGCTGAATTCATGAAGCGCATGAAAAGCGACTCGTGCCGCAAATCGAATTGCTCCGGTCAATTAACGAGGTGAGTTATGGCATAACCAGCTAGCGCTTCATATCTAATTTAATTTGACGTCCGATGCTAATCTATGGAGACTGGACTTCATCTATTGAAGAACCATCTACATGCGATGGGGATCTCCATCTCAAAATATTTTGCCTAGACACTTAAAAAAGCCGAAAGAGGATGATGAGCGGAAACGACTTCGTTCTCCTGTATGGCTGCATGCAAAAAATCTAAAGCCTTTCCTTTAAATTCAAATTCATGTTTTTTTCCCGCGAATATATTTGGAAAGCCAAGAAAAATAAGTAACCAGCTCCACTCGAGTCGTATTGTCCATAACCAAGAATGAGATCACTTTTCCATCCGAAAATCCGAATGGTAGGAGATTCCTAATGTCGCCTAACGCTGCTCTGGAATGCAGCAATGGTGCAGGAAAAAATTGCTTTTGTATTCAAAGTTATGCGTCATTCATCACTGAGAAGTGCTGTGCCTATTTTTCAAGGCAGTCCGAGTCTTGGAGAAAGTGTTCATTACAGGACTGATTCAATCAATCAATATTTATGGCAACATGCCACATTTACAAAATCCCAATAATTCAGCAATAATGCTCATACATATGACTAGGAGCGCCAATAGCATGCATTATGCAGGAAGCTCTTGTCTCTTCATTATTATAATAGATATTCTCGTTCACGACAGTGGGAGATTATACTTTAAACATGTTTTCTCCAGTAGAACTGCTAATAGATCTTCAGACTGGAAGATCCCCACATTCGCGACCGCTATTGTGTCTGTAGGTTCGTTTTCTTCTCGAGGGGGCTCGTATCTTACGTCCTATCAGGTACCTGAAGAGGAGCAACCGGGATTAAACGCATCTTCTATCACTCACATGGATTCACCTGACTTGTACAGTTGGAAGATGGATCCCTTGAATCGTGGTGGAAGTTCGGGCCGGCTAGGACAGAGCTTTCTCGATAGTTCGTCCCCTCTCCACTCCATTCGTATCCTATATCATCTAAAGAGTACGGTATCAATCATTCCGTAAAATTGAACTATGTCAACTTCGGGCAACAGCCATTATTGAGGTTGTGGAAGGAATATTGGAAGGAATATGCAGAGAAATAAGGGAATGAAATAGAGAATAATGGGTCTCTTTTCAGAGTCTGGGCCGTCCTGCCAGCAATCTAGTCCAGGGTGCGTAGAATGAGTCCATTCCCTCTTCCAGACAGACTGAAGGAGTCTAACTTTTTTTTTCCAGAAGATTTTCCGAGGATTAAGTTGTTTTTTTTTTGCGGAAGTGAGAGGGCAAGGGAATAGAGAGGGAGCGCAGTGGCATTTGAAGAATAGGGGAAGAAGACAGGATAAGCCAGCAGGCGTCACACTAGATTGCAGCTATACAACCATATTTCATCGAACGGAAAAAGTAGTATGATCACTAGACGCTCAGTCAGGGATAACTGGTGATACTCTTTAATGAAGGAGTCTTTTCATATTTGGTTTATCGTCATCGGCTTGCGAGAAAAGCCCTTGAAGCGCGAAGAGAAAAAGCCTAAATAATTTCTTTTTTTTTTTCTTAGCAATGATAAAAGTTGCTCTGGAAGGCACACTCACTCATAGCTGCTACGACGGACAGTAGAAACACGAACAATGGCATAGTCCTCATTTAAAGATGAGGAATTCCATATCCCAAAACACATTCAGAGCAGAATATGAATGCAAACTGGATACGTCTGAAGAAAGGCAGTACCAGACAATATATCGATTTCCAAATGAGCCAATTTAATTTTGCCGAATGAAGAAGTGAGGGAATCCCCACAATTTCGATAGTATCATGTTGAAGAGGATCATTTTTCGAGCGAACAAAATACGGTTGAAGCCAAAATTACATCACCTTAAAATTCACATAATGATTCAACAATTTCAATGCCTAAACTTTAACATGATACGAGGAAATTATAATATATTACTTCAACCATTATTTAAGAATTAAAATGGGTGAAGATTATAAGCCAGTTGTTATCCAAGTATATCTGAGGGCAGTAACTTTGAAAAACTGCATGTTATGTCATATCACGAAGGCCATAGAAAGAACATCATAATATTACAGTGATATTTGCACGTACTGCACACGTGGGTGTGATGCTTATGTATTTCATAATCTCAGAAATAATTCATTTTAGAGCCTGAATTCGAAATGAACATCAATGCGAATATTCGTAAATATGAAGTACTTGGCAAAACAGTTGACTTTTAAAATAAGCCAATACCAACATAAATAGCAAAAATATAAATAACTATATTTAATAAAATATCTTATAAATTACTTATTATCATAAGTGCAATAAACCATGCAGAATTTGTGATGTAACAATGGTAAAAATGTTGAAAATGATGAAGATAATGCTCTATTTCTTTGCGTTTATCTTTCTTTTCAGAAATGATGCAGAATTGCGATAAAGATTCCAGGTTCTTGGCCGGAACCTCTTTTCTTTCACTTTACCTGGAATGTTTTCTTCTCTTCAAGGGAAACTCCAAGTTAACTATAGATTATCCTTGGAAGTGTGGAGTTCCGAGACCGTAAAAGGACTTGTTCTTGGGAAAATCCAACAAAACTCATCTTTAATTGTCATAAAATCAGGTTTTTTTTAGGCACCAGCCAATGAATTTTCGCCATCCTGAAAACACTCATTACTGATTTTTCAAGGCAGTTCGAGTCTTGGAGCAGCAATAGAAACGAGATAGAGTAGTTCAGAAGAATCATATTTATGTCCCATGGCTATTGCTTTGAGATTGTCGAATTCGGGACTGTGGAAAGAGCCACGGGGGTCCAATGAAAGAGACTGACCTTAGTGAAGAGTTGAAGTTCGGATGAGAGACATACACTATTCTTTCTCCAATTAGCTCCCCGTACTATCAAGCCCAGGTACAGTGACGTTCTCCATTCGATAGGCACCCATATCAGGTTATGAGTTATCATGCCGTTGGCTACTCATGAGGTTAGACCACCCCTAGATCATCTTCACCAACTTCACTTCAAGGCGCGACACTTCAACACACTGCTCTATCGACGAGCGCATCCTCCGTCTACATACCCACGTCTTATGTCTTCGAGGCAGAGATGCAGAAACCGTGTCACGGTTATCCTATTGGAAATACCCTCGAATCACTTTCTGGAATCGACATCTTTGGTCTAATCAAAAGCAAGTCTCGACTCGAATTATATGATATAATTGATTTTACGAACCTCTTTTGTTGCATACAATTTGGCATCAGAAGCTTCCCCAACGAAAGTAGTTTTTCCAAATTCTGTCCTATTTGTCAGCCATTTCCATAGGTACTATAGGAAAATGGCAGATATTGCGATCGGGCTGTCATTTTTTTCATTCAGTCTGTCCGCAGTATCCATAGCAACCGGACAACTCGATTCGGTGCGCATGTACAGCTTTCCGCCTGGGTCGGGGTAACTGTCTATGACAAACTTCCGCTTCCCTTCCAGTCCTCATGGATGACGGATTCATAGTAGACAATAGAGAGAGGGACTGCTCGCAGTCGCACAGACAGGGTTTTTGCTGGGCGTAGGCATGAAATACCGCATCTGGCATCATACGCATCATACTCTCCTCCCATCTGCGCGAAGCGGACGCGCGAACCATCGAGAAATATTATCTAGTTGTTCGGGACTTTTCATGTAGGTCTATGACGTAGCAATGACAGCTATTATTTGTTTCAAAGTTGGATGGTCAGGATGCGGCGAAGTAGATAATTCCAGTGGAATAGGGGTCAGTGGAATGACAGATCTGTACCTGGGTTGGTATTCTAGTTCTTCGTTCGACGAAACATCGTTCGGCCTGAATAATTTCAGTTCATCTTCCTCCGAAGTGTATAGACGAAATGCGGTTCGATCTTATTATCTATACTTACACCCGAAGGAAGGTTTGCGCCACCGCGCTGATAAATGTCCTTCAGGTTGGGTTGCACTTTTGGGCCCATAATATCCGCTTCGATGAGGTATAGCTGGTTAACAAAACACAATCTAATCTAATTTGCACCCACTAGTAGCAAAATAATTGCGAAAACCGAAGTTTGGATAAGATGTAGGAAATTCATTTTTCGTGTTCAAGGAAGATGATCTCGTTTATCGTTGCACCGTGAGGAAATTCAATGTCCAAATGTCCGTTCTTGCTACATTCGTGGATATCTCATTCATAGCTATACTCCTAGTCATTTTTCCTCGTCTTTTGAGTGAAACCTCATGCGATTTTCAACTAATGGTGAACGTCGAGCACAATATGTCTGAATGCCTTTTGCATGATTATCCTGTGCATGACTGAACTGCCACTTCATTCGAATTTCAATTTACCACGGTTTCTGGAAATCGCGAGGGCTGCTCTTGCTGAATCTCGAGACTCCCGATTGATATATTAATGAAATCACATTAGGTAAGAGCTGATGCTCTTGCAGCTAACAAAAAAAGCAGAGAAAGGTTGGGGTTGGTAGAGATGGAAGCGTGGACTCTCGTGCTGTTTTGGATACTAGGGCACAGGTATACGACTGAACCTTGTAAAGGATTTTTTCTCAACAATTCATTTAAGCATGCAAGTAAAAGTCCCATGATTCTCAGAGCAACAAGGAAATAATAGGTTGCAGCAATGGTAGAAGCTACGAAAATTCCAGAATACATGACCCCAAGAGGGGACTGAAACCCAAAAAAGTAGCTACAGTATTACTGGTCCTGATCCCATGTGCTTATTGGATTTTGACTGGCACTATTACATGGAATTGCACTGCTTTTTTTATAATGCAGGTAGCCGTTTATAAATTCACCATGGTTGCTGAGTTTACAAGGGCGAAAATCCAAATCTAAAAAAAAAACATAACAGCATCACGTGTCACATATTACAACAGTATGAAAACATCACGATCACAGTTCTGTGCTCATTTCTTGGCTTGATGCTCGTTGCAGCGTAGACAGCCCAGGTTGATAGGGTGCCAAAGACTTCCAGGCTGTTGGATGTTGCTGAAAACGAAAAACCAATAAGTCAGATAAACTTGAGGTGGGAAATGACATGATTCGTTGCAAGATTTACCTCATAAATGGGCTTGTAGGAAGGCAGATGCTGAGGGGAGAGGACCTGTTCCCTGGCAAAAACCGCAGGAGATTGTTGTTGTTGTTGTAGCTGTAGTTGTTGCTGTTGTTGCTGCTGTTGTTGTTGTTGTTGTTGCTGTTGTTGTTGCTGCTGCTGTTGATGCTGCTGATGCTGATGCTGATGCTGTAGTTGGTGTTGTTGCTGCTGGTGCTGCTGTTGTTGGTGCTGTAGCTGTTGGTGCTGTTGTTGGTGTTGCTGCTGCTGAAAAGTTGGAATCACTGGAGCCCGATATAATCCAGGTCTCCTACCTGGTCCATTCATATGTCCATCCCCATTCGGGATCATCGGTAAAGACCTGGGCTGTCCTTGATTGCTTGGCACATCGTATTGACTCTTGAGGGAAATAGGCCCATTTTGATAGATGGGTTGAGGTCGAGGTTGCTGAAATGGGGGAAGGGAATGGAGAGCAGGCGTAATGGGTGATCCCTTTGGGGGAAGGGAATGGAGACCAGGAGTCATTGGCGATCCTTTCGGAGGAAGGGAATGTAGACCAGGCGTAATGGGAGATCCCCTCGGGAGAAGGGGCTCAGGCACAGACGGCACGCTGGATATCGGCGTTGAGGACTTCGGACTTCCTCCTCCTCCACCCCCCAGAGATCTATTCAACAGAGGAAGCACATGATTCAAATAAATGTGATCCCACTGAGCATTAACCAGTTGAAAACGTTATATTCTCAAGTCCCAGGACTGGGTTGAGCTCTTCGTAGTTGTAAGCATTTCCGGAAGTATCTGGTGTACTACACTTTCCTTCTCTTCAAGGCTAACATGCTTGGATAGAATGAGTTTGCATTGAGAAGCTCCCTGTGTGGGCATTCACAATTCTCTGGGAATAACAAAAAATCGTATTCCTATAAATTTCTGGGGTATGCGATCCACAACAATTTGAGTATGAGAAAGGTGTGATGCTATTCTAAGGAAAAATGCGTAGCAATAGAGAAAAGACTGAAGCGATCGTTAAATTACATGAAAAGAATAAAAGGATATTAAATATGGTATGTTAATTTATACAAGAGGGAGTTATCAAGAACTGGCCTTTAAACTGAGAGAGAACTCACTGCTGTAGGATCCTCTGCTGCTGAGAATCCTGAAAGTTTCCGTTGGGAGTAGAAGGGTTCTTCCCATAGGGATTTCGGAGGAAGTTCGGATTCCAGGCTCCGTTAATGGCGGCTGAAGAATTGTTATAGTGACGAGGAAGGCTTCCAACGATAGGAGAGAAATGGAGGGCAGTGGTTGAAGCCGAAGACATGTAGGAGGCAGAGACATTCGCCTCCATCAGATCCGACACGGAGACACTCTGCATTGGCTTGCTCAACATCGTCGTTGGCACATACGATGACCGAGCTATTGCCGTCCTTCAAACAGAAATCAAACGGACCACTGCTTAATGTCATGTCAAATTCAAAGCATGAGACTTTTAATTCCCCATCAAATAATAAAATCATGCGGGACTATCTGATTCTTGCGTAAGACAAGTTCGGTAGGGTGACTGAACATCATCGGTGTACAAGAAGAATGTTTGGAACAATCCTTCATATGCATGGTGTTCAGAAAAAAATATTTAAATTGTTATCGCATTTATAACGTGAACTGATATCTGTGGTTGGAAATGTGACCCTTAATTTCCTTTTGATAGGTGTTCTTAAAGTTGGTTATGCAGTCATTGCCTACAGATGAGTACCTGGATTACAAGCAGCCCCTGTGAGTAAATTCCAATATGAGAAATCCGATAACTCGTTCTTCTGTCAGCTGCCAGAGTGTAATCCAACCACTTCCTGAATGGTAGTCTATGAGCAGATATTAATCAACCGCTGGAGTGAAAGCACCAGCGGAAGTTCCAGTGACCCTGTTTCCAATACTCTGTCACAATTAAGATATTTTTGAGGTGGCGGTGGTGGAATAAATCTCCGTCTCATAGTTGTCAAAAACGTCAAACTTAGGTTTAAATTCTTCACTTGAAGCCTTAATAAATTTGCCGTCGAAGGGTTCGAATGTGATGTTAGTGATGCTCACGACATTCAGAAATTACTTTTTCAGTCTAGCTGGCAAAAGTAACACTCCACTGTTCCTTCCTGCAATCAATATTCCGATGGCAATGAAGGTTTTCTAATAATACTTATCTATGCTTCCTCATTACACGTGCACGAGTCTGTTCCTGAATCTGCTTATGACACGCGCCAGTTCGTGACCTTGTGTGAAAAGGCCAAGCCAAGAGAAGAAATGAGGTCAGGTTTTTGCACTGAATCATACTTTGCAATTATAGTCCCTGGAAACCGTAGAATTTCTGCGGCTATCGTAAAATATGATGAAACGAGAGGAAAGCTAAAAAAACTTCAAAATCTCATGCCTCTTATAAATGAGAAGCCTAACCTTTCCGACATTGGCTCTGATACAACAGGTCATGAAGTGACATGTATCATGTATCAGATTCCAGAGCAGATTCGCGTGCATGCACTGAGATAAATATAAGGGATCTGAATTATTCTGGAAGAGAAAAAAGGGGGAGAGTTAATTTTGCCAGTTGGTATATATTTTCTGACAAACAATATTCTTTAAAAAGATCCACGAACTCATAATGCTAACGCAGTGATAGATAAACATCTGAAGAATGCAATTGAACGAAGAGGGTATGGTTTCAGTTTGACCGCCTTTTACGAATTATAAGAATGATTAATTGGTGGGAAAGGATGAGACGTTCTTACTGGACAGTGCTGCTGCTTCTGTCGGATGAGGAAGGGCTGGGAAGATCGAGGGCTTGAGCCTCGGTTGGCAGTGGGGCTGGTGGGGCTGTGGCAACTGGAGGGCTGTAGGGGGGTGGAGGCGATTCGCCTTCTCCTTCCCCGGGCAACCTCCTTCCCATTCCATTCTTCTCCGCCATCTCACTGCAAGAAAATCCACCCACAGTGAGCCAGTCTAATAGTGAATCGCATAAAATATGTATAAGAAAAAAGCATAGCGATACGAAGAATAGCGGCAGACAGATAACATGGAAGGAGTATATGACATGGTGGTGGAAGTGAACAAAGCAACGGACACTGTCTACGAAGATGTAATTAAAATATCCTCTAATTATGACCTTAGAAGAAGCCATTATAATATTTCATTAATGCAATTGACGTCATGATTCGTAAAGTGGCAGTTATTACATGATTGCCGCTATTCATACGGGGGCAATTAATGTATTGATTGTCACTGAATTAGAATTGAATATAGGAAAAAAAAATATTAATCTCACAAAGCCTTTCTTTGCGCTGACAGCCTCAAGGACGAATAATTAATGGAGAGCTAACCCCTGGAATATTTTAATCTCAGGAGTACCAATGGGTATCATTCTGGTCAAAGTAGCCCTGGTTTAGCTCCAAATCCATCAACTAGTCGTCCTCAAAGAAACAGAGACAAAGACATTTGACACGTCAGGTTAAATGAAGAGAATTAGAAGTTTTCCGCACTTTCTTCCTTGATGACCTCCCAAAACTCGTAAAAAATGTTAGTGATAAAGCTTTGACTTAATTTATGTCAGCATATTGCATGAATGCATTTAGAGAGGGGGGGAGGGAGGGGGAAGAGCATTGATGACTGTACCTTGCGGCCTGTTTCTTGACGTACACCTTACGAGCGACAGGAGAATATCGGATCTTCAAAGGTCTGCCGGCAGTTTCGACTTTAGTGTAAGGGATGTCCTTTAGTTGATCAGGTGAAGGCTCAACGAGGTCAAAGTCGATCTTCTGGCGTACTTCTTCCGACAGCATGCCTCTCGTCTTCCCCTCAGCCGGTGAGTGGGAGCGAGACCTAAATTAGGCACATGATACGATATTTGCTTGCTCTCCAACATTGAATCTTACATTGTTCAATGCTCTTTAAAATACTGTCTTCATTCTTTCCCGCGGTCTCGGTTCCATGCTTTCGTTCTCGTGAGATTGCGCTGTCAATCATCTCCACGTCAAAACCAAGTCCAGTCAGAACAAAGATTCAATTTAGATACGAATTTCTCTCTGTGGTCGTAAGCTTAAGCAGAAAACTGGAAAGACAAAATAAAACCAATATTTGCGCCACCTGTCATGCCAAGCATAGCCCTATATACGAGCAGGTGTGTTTAAACCATATGGCCACTGCAGACAGAACGTTTTCAGGAGGTTCTTCTTTGTCTATAAATATGTTTGCGATTATTGCGTTATAGATATTCGTGTTTCATTCCAGGCATCTTTGTGCCATACTCAATTGTGCTACCTGAACATCAGAGAGCAGATCAAGGTACTCATTTTGAAGATAACGTTGTATAGAGTTGCAGGAAAACATGCGGACAATGCTGCACGCAACAGAAAATCTCTTTAACTTCGGGTTGATTGCGTATCAGCAGAATCATGCAAGTAATTCTATCAATCATGAAGACTGGAGCCTACCTGTGCCGGCGATGGCGTCTCCTGTGCTGGAAACTGGCTTCAGATTCCGTTTCTCTTCCAGAGGGCATGTAACCGGACTTAGGCCTGTGTCTTTCGCCGTGAGAGAGATCCCTGACAACGGCTTGGTGTGCTCTTTCGGCTTGAGAGAGATCCCTGACGACCGCCTGGGCTGCCCCGCCGCTCTGCAGACTTTCTTGCACGGCTGCCCACTGCTGCGCTGAATCCACCAACTCGTAGTCGTCTCGGTGGCGCCTTTTCACGAGGAGAAATGAAAATGCCAAAATTAAGCGGGAATGTTTTAACGACGGCATGGAAATGAGACATTGTGAGGTGGTGTTTTTGGTGGTGGGTGTTTACCTTCTTACCTTATTCTTACTTAGCTCAATGCAATGAAACCTGGCTATATTCGCAATTAAAGAAAAAGCCTTTTTGTACAGAAACAAAAGAGCTTCAATCAAATTCTGCTACCTCAATTTGTTTTCATGCAACATTATATCAATTCGCGAGCTGAAATGAGTATAAATGACATACACTCTATCCACTAAGGCGACAATATGTCACATCAAAAAGTAGAGGATACAAAAGCTTAGAAAAACAGGAGTGCAGGTGTAACCACATCATGGGTGATATGGTAATATTTCACAACTGATATTTAAAGGGAAAATGGGACACGAAGTGTAGGCATCTTCTGGCGAGGAGACGGAAATCCCAACATAACCTCGTCTCCTTGATCAATAGGAAGCTCGAAAATTGTTACTTTTTTTTAGCTCTGGTCGAATAGATTGGTGGCCGTGCCTGCTAACACATACTTGATGAAACATTACATGACTTTGGTTCCGATTGCTTCCCAAGTAGTGTTAAGCAATCACCCTTATAAATTATAATTATTGATGTATTAATGATAACTGATGCTGATATGCAATATCAAACGATACGCAAGTTAAATTCTGACTTTGATACGGATATTTGATGCGTGCAATGTATAAAAGATATTGACCGACAACTTGACGTTGTTCCCTCAGCTTTATATCCAGCCAGTAAAAACCGAACTCACACTGGTTTTTCTTTTTTAAATAGACTGGGACGGGCACAAACAGGCAAGGACAAATGCCACATGCAACTGAACACACAATAGAGAAGGGATGATCCTTATCGGACATCCCTGACGGCATTGCCACACCTTCCATACTCTGTCATTCTGTAGCACGTTTTCACTGACTCGGGGGACGTGATCGCAACTTCGATGCCACTCAGGCATTAGGCCCTCCATCACTCCATGTCGAGCCACCAGGGTGATGAACTACCTGTACTCCAAAGGGAGATACAGGTAGGAGCCGAATGGAGCCGGGTGAACTGTCGCCCCAGGAGAATACCGCCTACCGCAGGTCAGATTCGAACCTCAACTCCCCAAGCCCGAGACCCACCGGGCCACGGAGAAGGGAAATCGAACAGTTACTTGAACAGAAATGTTTTGCATTTACTAGGCCAACCCGGGAGAGGAATGAAAGCTGAGGTTCGATGCAATCTTACTCTCAGTTTTCATTCATGAGTCATGTCCGGGGTATCTTGACGCTACCCATCTGAATACAGTCGCTTAACTCGCGTTGATTTTTTTCCAACAGCCTTAATAGACATGGCGTCAGTTAGAGGATGAAGAAATCTCCTAGTATCTCCGATTGACAGTATTGCTCGAGCAGGGATTCCAACAACCAGTGAGGCCATTTGAGAATGACCTTTCTAGAAGTCCTAGATGGGAAATGACACTGGACACCCAATGGGGTAGAATTTATGAGCATCAGGAGTGTAATTCGCGAGAAAGACCGAATTTGGCGGGTGGACAAAGCAAGTGGCTGTTACAGACAAGAGGGCCACCATTCACTCATGCAGGCATCAGATATTAATGCAACCTGTTTTCGCATCCTCAACAGCAACAAGTTCGTAGTAATACCCCTAAGAACAATGCGGTAACGCCGAGGTCCACCTACGGTTCAATGATCATGGCTTGAACCATGAAACTCCAAGACCAAAAAATTTTTTTTTCTTATCAGCATACTTTGGACTGGTTGAGCCTTCTTAGTCGTACATGAAGAAACCCCTCCATTCTCGACGGGTCAGTGAAAAATTGCCCAACGAGACAGTGATCCTTCCATGCTAGTTTTCTTCGATGACTTAAAGCATTTTCTGCAAAAACATATTGCCACTAGTAACAGAAGGAAAAGCTATAAGATTCTCCCAATTTGTCGAGATATACCATCCAGGGGACGTAACTCATATACAGGAAATAGCAAAAACAGATAATCTCTGATATCCTACATTTATGAAAGATACTACCCAACACTGTCTCCAGCCAATGCCAAGTGAAACTAAAGTTGTAATCGACAGTGCCTCGGGACCTCAGACCTACCGAGCCCCGACTTGGTCCGAGGCGACAACTATTTTTTTTAATTTTTGATCAATTTTTACTTATTTGCAATTTTTATGATGTACGCACAGTCCTGTACAATATAATTCTTTTTTTGGCGAATGCGGAAGGATTAGGATCAATGATAGGTTCAGTTGCAATGCTGACATGGTCATAATCGGAAATGAGGCATTTCTACCTCGCTGAATGCGTGCAGGGGAAAACCATTGTGTGCGGTAATACATATGTATATGTACATACATTTCGGGGTATGTATAACAGACCCCGAAAACCATAAAACCTCGCTTACATGTTCTATGAAATTAACAGCGAATAAATACTCTGATTCAAGTTAGTCGCCGACATCATCCTCCTGCAAACGTATTTTGTGCAGAGTACGTTTCAGGAGAGTAACCTGCAAGTTTAAGCACACACCTGCGATGGTGATGATGACGGTGAGACCTCTTCCGGCTTTCCGATTCCGATCCGGAATCTCCGTTATGTCGAGATGACCGATGGGTGTTGTGGGACTTCTCGCTTTCGTTGTCCGAATTATGCCGACTTCCATGCCCATGGTGTCTGCGATAACAAATCAAACTCATTCACAGTAAATGAAACGTACATGGAACGCATAAATATCGCGGTAGAAGCCCTTGAACTGTGTGGTGAAGTGGATTAACCTTGACTTCTGATTCATTCATTAATCGCTTGAAATACACGTAATATTGCTGTAGAATCATAGAGTCGTGGGAGGAATAGCGCAAATGCATATAGATCAGATGGTCAATAGAAGTACCGATACATCAGACAGGAAGTGCCGTATTGGTCGACCCAGATCGACGTAGGAATTACCGTTTGCGACAGTGTCGATGGCTTGAGTCAAGGGAAGAATCTCCGCTTTCCACGCTGGAACTGCGGGTCCGGTCGTGTCCTTGTCTTCTGCCGGCCTCGGCAGAGCGAACCGATCTGGGACTCTGATTGCTGTAGAGGCCACGAACCTGTCTTGGATCATTCCATGGATAGCTCCTCGTGCTTCTGGGGGAATCCGCCCTTGCATCCCTCACCAACCTGAAACATACCGGTCAAGGGTGAGTGTTTCGATCAGGTGATCGTTGATGCAATGCAGTGAGATCTTCTTCATTTGTAGGCTCAACTTCTTATTTAAAAAAAACGTATACTTTTTTATGTTTACATTTTTTCAACAATTGCATCGTGTTGAGTTTGCGTCAACTGGGATTTGCCTCAACTACAATTACTTAAGAACCACTTCCGAAAGAAGACTTTCTTTAAATTAACTTAATGGGCATTTAATTTGCCTCTCCTTAGCATACTTGCCTGACTGAAACTTGCCATGAAGAGTATTTATACTGGTTTGGGATTTCACGTGTGAGCGTGAACGCGAGTTATGAGGATGTTAATTGCGTTGGGAAAGACCGCTCTACAGAATGAGTCTCGGGATTCCCTTACTATTGTTTACAATATAATTCCCTTTCTATTCAAATCCAGGTTGCATTAAAAGTTCCTTTCTATTGTACAGAACAATTAGGACAGGAAAAAAAACGTTGACAGCACACACGAGCCTCATGAACATAGCGCGGGATCTTTTCCCTCAACAGAGAGAAGAAGGTGAAACGCCTCGGGTCCCGCATGCTTCCCATGCGCAAGAAAATGCATTTATAGCAGAGCACGTTTAGGCCCATGGGATCCGTGTGAACCAGTTGCAGGTTAATTATACAATACAATACGTAATTGAGGTTCATAATCGTAATCCGTAATAGTGTTGTGATGTGCGTCTCGACATTAACGACGACAATGATGATGAGGTGAGTTACCCAGGAGTAGATGATTGAGGAATGGATATGATAGGGCGGGGTGTGGGTGTTCCTCCTCGTCCTTCCCTCTTCTCGCCGCACTCCTTCACGTCATCTGTGCAATCCAATCAAGCCTCCTCTCACTTTTCCATTCGTTATCCACCTTTCATAAAATACTTTCTAGGTAAGCATCCATCTTTTGTATTCAAAAATTGCCCCCTACCATCTTGTCATGCAAATAAGGAATCAAGGAAAAAGTTGAGAAACGCCTTGAAAGGTACAAAATGTGACTGATCAACCGACTAGGCTTTTTGGCTGATTAGTACAGATTCCCGTTTCCAATCAATGCCGATGTAATTAATCATAAGTTAGTACAGGTTCTTGGCCTTGTTCTTGTCCTGCAAGACTGTTCTGCTATACTGCATGCCTCAAATCGTCCATAACCTGCACAAGGTCATGTGAAGTCTCCATGGAAATTCGACACAGCATCCATTTGACATCCATTCCCGTTAAGACATAAATTGCTGATGAAGCAGAGAATAAGCGGACCGAATGTAATGCTATTGGACTCTCAGAAGCTTTTCTTTCCTTTCATTTCCTGTGAACTTGTGATAAATCAAAGTCATGAAGATGGGTACATGAAATTTATGTGGGAGTCCTTCAAGTGCAAATGGAACCCTTTGCTTCTCAAGATAGTAGTACTAGTCATTGGTGCGATTCGCTTCGGGGAAGGCGCAAATTCAGGACGGTCATTCACGACGTAGGCATCTGGCAATACTTTACCGTCTTGGGCTCCTTCCACGATGCGATGATTAGGCGGTGCGTGTCTCCTCCAGGACTGTCTGGGGAATTCTGGAGGAGTCCTCAGACTAGACCTCGCCGCTTCCATCGTCTGCTTCTCTGTCCTCCCACTACAACTCGATAAAAAAGATGGAGAGAAAGGTATTAAACTGCACTCGAATATGCATCATAATTTGTACAAATGTTACAAAAGAGAGTGTTTTTCCGTTTTTCCATGGTTGCTCACAAGATCCAAGAGCCCTTTGAAATAAACTACTAATATGCGCGATTTCCGCAGGTAGACCTAAAGGGATGCCTCGTAATACCTTTCGGCAGTCACCCATTACAAAATTCACTTAATGATAGAGTCCTTTCGTGGGAAGATATCAGCATAGATGATTAGTTCCTTGCTCTGCGTGATAACGTAATGATGAGTTTAATGGGCCTTTTTCCTGCATCGTTTGCTCATTGAAACTATCACAGACTAGAACGATGTAATTATGCTGCCAAGTGATGCTATAGTGTTACCGAGACATTAGCCCTATCTCCCAGCAGCTTGATAGGGTGCATTTCCAGGGCATTAGCACAAAAGCCTCCTCTTACAAACTCTCCCTCGAGGATTATAAGCCTAAAGAGAACTGAAGAGAGCTTAAGAGGCGGGAAACATTGACCATCAAGCAGTGTAGAGGAAAAACGACTTTTGCCAGTGAGGTTTCCTTCTTTCTCCTGTCCACATACCGGTTCCCAATAGAACAATAGTCGCTCGAGGGATTGAGGGTCATTGATGCGAGGCGGAACACACTCTTCCTCTCATTCTCCACGGCGAAGGGATTTATCGGCAGAAAAAGTTCTCACATTTATACTTTCTCCGTTCCCCTGACGGATGGCTCATTAGCGAAAAGATAGCACATAATAAAAATCCCGAGACGGCTCCCTGACGCTTTCAAAGTCCTCTCATCTCCCCATTGTATCACTCGTGTCTGTGGGAAATGGTCTTGTCATATATCTCTATTGCACATCATTGCAGGTGAAAGTTATGCCTTTCCGCAATCGCCTTTCGTCTTTGCACTGGGAAGTATAAATGTATTACTATTCGAACCAACCGACACTAATGGTGAGAGAGAGAGAGAGAACCTAAGAGGCGACGCAAAAAAATTAATTGCATTCCCATAAGATACAGGAGTTAAATTCCAGAGTTTACATGAGGTCGTTCCATGTTGACATTGGATCATACTGCAGTGTTAGTGTTGCATTCACATTAGGACAATAGATGCAAATAAAAATTATTCCAGAACGCGAAAATATTTATTTAGATTTTTATTTTCATGCAAAGTTATTAGGGTAAAGGTCCCACGATAACAATTTAGTGGGGTTTTCTTTTCTTCAAACCCACGGAGCTATAAAGTTTCATAGATACCTCATTACCTGAAGATATGACATTAGAATAGGTAGGGTGATCAAAACTCATTTCTAATGGCTCCGCTGAGCAAAGGGAAGGGGAAGCAAAGGGAATCATATAATAGCTTTTGAAATTGTCCATCACGTGAGTGTCATCTCTCACAAGGGTCAAAATGCTGGGGTTTGGTTGAAATGGGATAATTTCGAAGAGCAGAACATATTATTTTACTCTGACAGAGCTTGCATTCTTTCAAATAATCCATTGAATGTGCACCCAGTAGTACAGTTTTCTTCAAGTAGTTCATTCATGCATATGGCCAATCGGTATGTCTAGTAACTGACAAAAGGGGCTGGTTATCATTTGGCAGATAAGTCCACGCCTAAAGTGAAGAGATGCGAAGATGACGATTCCCTTGAGGCTTGAAGCCACAATGGCAAGTCACGTTCGGAAAGGAGCACGTTTTAGTTTAAAATTTTCCCATTTCACAGCCCTAACTAAAGTTTCTGCCATAAATAGATAGGCGTGAAAATAAAAGGGTTCATAAACCTTACTAATGCTTTAAATCCTTCCTGGACTGAACGACAACATTCTCGGAGGTGGAAACCATATTGAAACGATGGTATGCGTCCAATGGTCACATCAATGATGAAACAGAAAATATTCAGCGAGTAGGCACGCAAAACGGTAGGCCAGGTGTATGACATTCTCTGGAAATGGATGTGACCTGCAGGAACTTTCAGTCCATCGCATGACGACTACTACGCCAGATGTGCATAATTGAAACGTTTCAGGTGCATCCAATTGATTCATTCATCTGGAGTGAAAGAAAGGATTCATCACAAAGGGGGCTGAATCTGAAGGGTGATTCCATATCATTATCCTGCACTAATCTTAAGTTTCTCTCACAGTTCCAACGTCATGTACATATTTATCTTCGATATAATTTCCAATTTGATATTTCATATAGGGTGGTATTTCATCTATATGATTTCTATTGTTGCGGGCATGACATTATTATTGCTCCCTCTAAAACTAACAGTAGCTATGCAAGTATAGGATAGCATTATGTTCCAAAATAAGCTTCAAAGCACTTGCGTTCCTTTATTTTCAGCAATAGGAAGTTCTTTCTTTCATGGGTGACAAAATAACGAGGGCAAGTCATGATTCTGTCTATGACATTCCGAACTGCCTTCGCACTGCATCTCGGATGGCACCTTAATTGACCTTTGTTTCTAATTATTTGGGGACGACTATACTCTCTGATTATCGGCAACGCATTATTCACTTTCCTAGTTGTACGTGTTCAGGGTTTGGATGTAAAAAATCCTCTTGAACCATTTAGTGCAAGTGTAGCATGAGCCAAGCTTCCAAGTCTCCTTGAACCATGAGTAATTCCTGTTTTATGCTAATTTCGAGATCATAATTTTTGTTGTTGAATTTACTCGAGTAGCTTGATGTGGGTCTGAAAGAAGTCGCTAAAAAAAAAAACAGTTGACAATATGGTTGGTCTCTTACCTATAGCGAAACTTAGATGAGAAGGAGAAGGTCTTATTTGGAGTTGGGGAATTGGGGACCTGAGTGAGCCTGAAGAAGGCATGGTGCTCAACGCAACATCTCCACAGATGCCTGCATGCTCCCTTTGATGGAGTTTCAAAACCATACGTCCTCTCCTCATTTGCCTTGTCCCGCACCTGCTCAACCAAGCAGCGTTTCTCAGCCACATTGTAACCGGCTCAGAAATCGAGAGCAAGAAAGTGGGCTACGTAGAGATCATAAACTTTTTCGAGAGTCATGCGGTGTGGCCAAATGGCTGCGGTCAGATAATACGACGCGGTATAAAAAATTTTATGCAAATTATTTTTTTTATCTCGAAAACTAGAAACCCTGCACTCATACAGTATGCTTTTGGGGGATTCTGGAACGCACAATTATATCTCCGTATGTTTTATCTCCTTGCAGGTGCAGAGACATTTTCCTGCTGTTACAATGAAGTTGGAGTGCATAGCAAATGTTACTTTTTGGTGAAACATGGGAAAGATGTAAATCACTTTAAGTTTTACATGGGAAGAATTCACCATTACTCGGGGCATTGGATAAGGGGTTTAGAGGCAAATCCAAGATGATGAACCTTGTGACTGTTATCCATCAAATTTCATTTCTTTGAAGGCCATATTTTGGTCATGAAATTTATGAAGTCAGGCACTCACCCTGAGCATGAAGTATCGTTTCTTGAAGTACACTTTGGTAATGCGAGGCCAGAAGTAGTAACCAACTCTGGTTTTGTTTTTCAGAACCATGACCCCACTCGGAGTCAAACCAAGGAAGTACTCCGTGCAATCCTCTCCCTGTTTTTGTTGGGAGGAGAAGGAAAAAAAAAGAATAATGATGCATCTCCTTCGTCCAACGCAAAAATAAAATGAGAGTGGAGGGAAGCGATTGCTTACGAGGACAGGATGGAGATCGAGGCCATAGAGTTCGAGCCATTTGACTTTATCCAGGAAGTTGCGCTCTGCCACCGCCGGAACTTGACCACTAGACAGTGAGACATGGTCAGCAACGCATTGACCGGCACGGCTTTTGCGTCACGGGAAAATTACGGTGTCTATGTCCTCTCGAGTATCACATGGTGTTTCCAAAATGATTTATAAATCTGGCTAATCGTCTTCCATTTATCTTATAATATCTAACCTCAGAGGCAATTCCTGAGTTCTTTCTCTCTCAGGAATGCACTAAATTGTATATTCGTCTATCTCTCAGGCTTATGCTATCTAATTTAAAAAGAAAAAGAAAATAGCTGCCTTTATGATCACGCAGCAGATACAGTGCAAAAGTTTATGGTCAAGATCCACGCAAAGCCAGTTTGATTTTTAGCATAACGAACACCTGATTTAGAATTTATCTAAAAACTTTGAGGCATTGCTCCTCATAGTGCTTAGTTACACTATTCTCATAATTTGCATAATTTGTTCATTGATCGAAACATAAATCTATACATAAATTCACTTCAACTCATTCACGTTAAACGCATAGAAGTGGGGAGAAAGCTTTAGTATGGAATATGTGACGAAGCATCATAACTATGCAAATACATATTATATAGTCGATATGCCACATTGACAAACTCACATGAGGGTTCGATGCCTATCGGCGATTTGCGCCTCAAGTTCCTCGGTCTGATTGGGAAAGAGCTTGAACTCGGACACATAACCAGGAACGTGCCTTCGGGCGTCGAAGTCTCCCAGCTCCGCTGCAGGCATGCATTCATGCAGCCACGTGAATCCATCATTAATTAATTAAAGGGCTGGGTGTACGTGAGTGAAAAATGAATGCCGCATAATCAACCGATGGAATGTGAAAAAAGGAACAGATTCACCGTGCGAAAACGTCATGCATTTTTCCAACGAGGTCGTGGACTAGATAACACAGCATCAATACCTCATGACACCATAAGGAGCGCAAATACTGTACTGTGTCTCATTCGGTTTTTTTTTCCCCCTCTGGAACGGAACAGTTTCTTTGATGCGAGTTCTTGAAACTGCACGATACTTTTGATACTTTGATACTGCATCACAACAAGAAAATGCAGTCTTCTATTATAGCTAATAGAACCAAAGGACTACGAAGCGTGTGATGTGTACCGAGTGAACTCGGAAACTGGCTTTGCGGCAGCCAAAAAAGAAACGTTAGTGGCTTTGTTCTTGGAAGAGAAAGCGACTATCGCTATGCGGTTTCCTTTATTTTGAAGTGGGGTTATTGTCTGATTATCCTGTCAAGGTTCACAACTCAAGCTTGCATTGTTCATTTTTCGCAGGACTGAAAATCTCATACCCGGAACCCACTCTCGCCTTTGAGGTTATTCCAGCGCGAGTCAGTCTTTCGAAGGAAACAAAGACCGAAGATAACTTTCAAGGGGTTTGTGAGAGAATCCTTTACAATATTACAACATTGAGAACTAAATAAATTCAATGGTGAGAGGAACAGATCGTCCTCACTATAGGAGATATGTGGTTGCTGTCAGTCCAGCCAATGTCACCGATCGTTTCCACCTTCTGTCCCATATTTAACTCACGTGAAAGCTCTTCGACATTGAAGAATACTCTCCTAAAACCTTTTAAGAGTCATGAGTCTTTTAGGAGTCTGTTTCCTTTCACATTCTGATCTGTGCCGGAAAACGTCAAAATCGAGAGTGCGTTCTGGTTTTCCAGACTGTATTGCGAAACTTGGCGTGATTAGCAGACTATCATTTCATTATCCGGAGTTGCAGTTTGTACCAATTGAAAGACTGGAGAAGACTTTACTAAGAGAGGTGGAGAAACCTTCCTATAATTGAACCCACAAATGAACGTGAACCTACAAATGTAGATTAATAAACCACCAGTCCTGCTGGTTCATGAAAATCTATAATTGTGCGCCCCGCACTCTAGCCTGTAACCTAAGACATTACTTTCTTATTGCTTTTACTTGGTACACACCCTGCTTCATCATTGGTTCGGGTAGCTATGCCAAAGGAAACGAAACAAGAATTACCTTGCGATAATAATACAACCTTCACCAAGGAATAGTCCCATTCCGCCAAAAGTTATGCAGAAAATTAGTTTTTTTTTTGCGGAATCGCCCAAGGCGTAGAGATGCCCTTGAAAAAATTATGCGAGTTCTACATATTGCTTAGGAGACATTTCTTTCAAAAGTTCCTTGAGAACGTTCACAGGATGAATACTTTTTTTTAAGTTGACATATATTCATAGTCCCTAGGTCTTAGATAAAAGTACTTGAGGTAGATAAATCTCAAGAACTTCGAAAATATTTATAGGAAGCCAGAGTCTCTAATTCTCCATCTAGGTAAAAGTGAGTACCCAACCATTAGTTGGAGTTGTATTGTGCATCGATTCACTCCCGTGAATTTCACGTTTCCGATTCCCTCACACAGGAGGGAATCGGAAACTTCATAATGGAAGTGTTTTTTTTTTTACCGAAGCTATGCGATAAGGCGGTGAAAAATGGAGGAGAGAGTGAACTAGTAGGGGAGGCAGTTCATTTCCATACCGAGGGGGAAAATAACAGGGTGGGGCGAAACGTCGCTGATCCACTATCCTCCCACAGGGCTTCTTTTCACAGGGTGGATCAAATTTCCCGCAGATACCTTCCCTTATCTCATAGCATTCCCAAAGGTCCATAAATCCATGCAATCTCTTACACTTTATTCTCCGATATAGTAACCAATACCCATCCAACCATGAAATTCCCCCGTGCGGAAAAAAAGAAAATGTACTAGCGGTTCTGAACATATGGACAACGGTACAATCCAGGTGCTTTCTTCGAATAAATGAGTTTCTCATGACTTCTGCAATACTAGGTTTTTAAATGTGGAATGAACACCCGAATGACATCAGCGCCCTTAAGTTTTGCAAGCTAAAAAAAATTATAATCTACTGTAGAATCTTCAGAATAGGATAGACTATATGAGGAATAACAAGCAGTATAGCCAGAGATTAATTTTTTACAATTTGCATTAAACCTTGATTTGAATCACAGGCCCCTTTTATCTTTACAAACTATTTCAAATTAAAACTTTTTTCATAAGAACATCCGAGCAATCGTAATGCTTTGCTATATGCCATTCTTCCTGTACAAAAATAGAACAGTATGTCTCACATTGTATTGCGTAGGCCCCAAGTTCCACGGAAAGGTCGAAGGGAATAGGAAGTCGACCCTGGAGGATATCCTGCTTCACTTGAAGGAAAAACTGGTACCTGCAGAATTTCCGGAGCAGAGAAAAGGCCTTTTCATTGCAGGGATTTCCCCTGGGGCACTTCCGAGGTTCAATGAAACGGGACAGTGACGTCACACTTGCCTTGTTATCTCTTCCACGAGCTTGCAGGGGTCAGAGGCATAGAACTTCACACCGAAGAACAGACTAGATGAACTCGAACCTGTCCAGAATAATGAAAATACAAAAGCCTCTCAATGTAAGAACTAATATGCGTCAACACTGCATTGAAAGAAGGTATATGATACCATAAATTAAAATTGAATAATCAACAAAATAAATGGAAAAGTGAGAGCAAGAAATTAAAAATCGCGGCGGGGGAAAAGCAGAAGACTTTGAGATCTCAATTAATTTTATCGTGAGAGTAAATTCTCCGAAGGCCTAAGCTACACGGAGACTGGAGCATCCTTCTCATTATGCATAACGAGGCTTTCTCTCATGCGGAGGTGATGCTTAGTTCGGATCCATATTCGTAGTGCACAAATGTTCTTTGTTCTCCCTGTACAAGATGGATTGGGGAAGAGAGGGTCAGAGATCAGGCCGGTTGGGTCCCCCCAAGGTAGAAGAAGGGAGGAGGCAACCGCTGCAATAAGTTTACAAAAATGGTAATTGCTTCTTTCTTCCTCTTTCCTTTTCTCCCCCGAACCGTATAATTGATCACTGCGGGATAGATTTGAGATCCCCTCGGGGCTTCGTGATAGCTTCGCTTCTATGAGGATTGGAGCAATTTTTCTTTCTTGTCCAAGCTTCCCAATAACTATGATGATGAAGATGATGATGATAAGGATCATGATGGCCTCTGTCCCCGTTGCTCCACGGCTGGGGACTGATTTCAGGGTCACTACTCCGTACCGGAGCCGTCTGAGGTATGCTATCGCATAATTTTTTGCTTTCGCGAAATCAGTCTGAAGAAGGCAGGAATGACTGACAGTTTGGCTCATATGGGTCAATGCCTACTCACAAAAAATACGCTAGTAAGTATTGGATGACAACATTATAGAATTTCTTCGGGGGATTTTTTTTTTTTTACAAGCGACGAATGATATACCTTTATAATAGTGCTCACCTTTCACTTGTCGATACAGCTTCTTGACCGGGTTCACCCATTGCTTCAGAAGGAAAGAAGTTCATAGATTCAGGTAGAATAAGAAAATGCTCATTTGTAGGAAATATATCCGGTTACAGATACGTACCGTTTGTCCCGTTGCATCGATGTATCGCAGGCCAAAGTATGCTGTCTCCAAGAGGTTCAAGTGCTTATATACCAGTTCCAAGAGGTCCTGGCCGGCCCAATTTTCCTGTAATCGACCCATCAACAGTTCATTTTTTACAGGGATCTACACTCCTTCATGTCTTGGCAAACAGGCGAATTTCTCTATGTCACTATGAGGATGGAAAGATTGAGTCGTGATAGGTTTGTGAGATGTAGTACTCGCTTCTATGCTCAGTCAATAGGAATTTGATAAAAATGGAGGTATCTGCACTAAGCCATCACAGTTCCATAAACTACATTAAGGCAAAAGTAGTGCAGAGTCTATCTCGTGTGAACATCGTACGACTTGATTTTAATGGAATAATTGCTAACGATGACGAAGCTCTTCGAAGAGATAAATGCTCTGAACAGGTGAGTTGTGTAGAACCCTGCAAGGGCCGATTTTTCGAAACCCCTATCCGAACTGCTCGAAGCAACCGAACTCCACGGCCCGACACAACCCGACTCAATAATAAAAAAATGGCAGTCCATGTTTCCCAGTTTTCTTCATTGCTGATCGCAACGCAAGACAGAAAACAAAAATTTTCTCGACTGTCTCTAGTGATATACGACGTTCTTTAATCACATGACCGGCCAGGCCACAATGAAGGCGGCGAGACTGGACAGGCAATGCAAGCCTGATTTCAGCTTTTCAATAACCTTCATAGGAAGTCTCACTTTAGTATGACTCAGAAGCCGTAATTGATCCCTGTCATGCGATCACAAGAGGTTGTAGCACTAGCATTTCTAGTCCATGATTATGATATTACCTTGCAAGAAAAAAATTTCCTAGTAGAGCTGGAGCCAGCCGGCCACCCGTCGAAATGGCGCCGGCTCAGGGTATCTGCCCCCTTCCAGTCCCAGATTCCGCTAGTCTTTCGCAGTTACTTATGAAATGATTATCCTTCGCACAGGCATATTCCAGTGGTCCCAGCCCAGAGGCAAGATAATAAAAAAATGCATGAGAAAAATTCGGCCCAGTCCGACCCGACCCAAAGAGAGATCTTAGGAATTTTCGGCCCGAAACGGCCCGTGGCCAAGTTGGGTCGATCCGCAACCCATGCAGGCTCTAGTATGATGGTGCTCGATTATCAGGTCTACGTGCAGAACCGTTTTTAGTAGTACTCAGCAGTGCAAAAGGTACTGGTCACTCAAAGCTGATCGAGACGCGAAGATTTTACTAATGTCAAACATGAATACGTCGAATGAACTCGCGTTGCATCCCTTTTCATGCTAGCATACCATGAAAGGGGATGGAAATATGTGAATTATAAGTAGGATCATTCCGAGAGCTTCGGACTCCTTGGTTCCGCTGAGTGCGCAGAGGACACTGTGCGCTGAGAAACTGGTTTTCTTTTTGGCTAACGATGCCATGCTTTCCTACTGTATAGGACTCAGTTCGAGCACAAAGCCTATAACCTAGGTAGCTTTCGAGCGAAGGGATAATACTTGTTTGCCTCGAACGTTTCCGAAAGGCTCTGCATAGCTGTTGGGAACCCTGAGCTAGAAAATAGAGAAAGATCATGAAACCGATAGTTTTTCAATATCCCGACATTCTAGTAAACCATAGACGCCGAACTTATGGGGCAAAGGGGCATGTGCCCCCCCCCCCCCCAACAATGTTATGGGTGGGGCTATGCTCCCAGAGAATGGCCAAAGTACAACTGAAGTACGGCACATGGAACATGGGAAAGAAAATGCTATTTCACGAAAGATATAAAAAAATATATGATTTTCCTATCTGCTTAGAGCTCCGAGAGATCCCCATCATCACGTAAGGGTATGGGGTGGAAGAGCGAGGACCCTTGTCCCACTCCACGCCCAGCACCCCTACCCCCCCCCCCCCCTCCCCAATGTTTTTTAGAAGTCGGCGTCTATGCAGTATACCTTATAGCACTGTTCATTCTCTGCACGATGGGTATGAACGTTCGCATAGGTGACGTTGACAGCTGCTATCAACTGTAGAAATGTCAAATCAATGCAATTTGCGAGGCCTACATTTTTAAGCTACTAAGGATCTGAGTCATGTGAGCTGGCAGCCTTAGCATACGTGACTCTCCCTCAGCCGAATAATTCAATTCGTAGTCTCTTCAATCTACTATGGGAGTCAATATTATCCGAAGTTTTCCGTAATCCCGGAGAAGCAAAGAGTAGCTGCAAAAATATTAATGTAAAGCTGGATAGCTTTATTTTCCCGGGCGGGCACTTTCGCACATAGTGAAAATAAATAGAATCTCCTGGATTTCCAGTAGGCCTATCATATGCACATTTTGCTTCGACGCTGGCGACTAGCTTATTTCGCCTCTCCGCTCGAGCCTTTCATAGCCCCCCAACTCAGCTCTGATTTTCGAATCAGTTCAAAGGTCAAAACCAAGGGATTGAAATCTTTATCTAACATCCAAAGGGGAGGAAAAGAAAAAATAGATACGTATAGTTACAATTAATCTGCATTCTACTACCCTCCAGGGCTGCATTCAGAATACGAACATGCGAATGATAGGGCAAGACGCACGAAGGTTTTAACGGCCGTGACCTAGACGGAAGAGAAGTGTATCTTACAAGATGCACCTGCTCCACTTCTTTTCGTGATTTTTTTTTCCCACCCATTCCTTTCTCCTGACCTCAAATGAAGTCCGCTAGGAACTGACACTTCGTTCCAGTTTTTGTCTGTTCAGTACTTCGTCATGAGCACTGTGGGGGAAAAAGACAATGCTGTGAGCAGTGAAGGATGAAAAGTGATTAATTATGTGGGAGGGCTGAATCCGGTTCCTGTTTCGTGCCGAGCTTCTTCCGCGACAGCAAGATGTTGTACGTGAGAGAGACCTCTCTATTTCATATCGCAAAGCTGCAATTAACCTCAGACCTCCAAGAGACATGTACACCAGCACAGGAAGAGGTGGACGTGCAACAGCTGGAATTACGAGGTGAAAAATAAATTGGGGGTTATCTCTTAAGAAGCTTCACGCGCACATGAGGCATGCATAATTACAACGTAAACACACACACACATACACACAACTGCACATGGCGGCAGTGCTCTATTTTACAGTGTTCAGAACAAAAGTTAGAACTTTGCGCTACAAGCCATGTCCAATTACTTTTTGGCCCCTTCTCGAAAATTGCGTTACATCCTCCATTTGCAGTTACTCTCATAATACCCTATACTTAGACCAGGTGATAGAAATATTGCTCCTCTGTACTGTATTTTAGAGTCGTCGTTGGTTTCACGGCTCTGCACTCTATGAAGGGTGGCATGAGAGCCCAGACACGAGAATGGTTTCCATCCTGAGGTTGTTCACTCACGTTTTTGGCTGACTCACTATCTCGTTCTAGACGAAAATGACAGCTAACACATTAAGATTTCATGCCAACAGTCTTGTGGGTGTCGGTTCTGCATGACCTGGCACGTGCATGGACAGAACATCTTCGTAATAGCTGTTAACTTCTACTTCGTCATCTCTCGATCAGGTTTCCTCAAGTAGAAAACACCGAGTGGTGGACTGTTATAGTTTGAACTATTTTTCAACGGTAAATGTCAGATCACATGATACGGCTATGATGAACCGCCTCAATCCATGCATGAGATTAACCACTCCGAATTCCCAAGTATCACGTGGATACGCTTTTTCCTTGAGGTCTTCCTCGTCTCTTCTTCATCACCCGTCGGTCAAGAAATACCGTCTGCTCTCGAAAGGTCTTATGATTGCGAAAGGAGAACTAAGTACTCCAGGAAATCCATTTACTACTAGGAGTTTTTCTATCTCTGAAGAGCCGTTGCGACATGATGTGGTTTCTGAGCGTAGGCTATGCACTTGTTTTCTTCCCAGCATCATAGGTATTCAGGGATGGTATAGCCGAGGGCAGAGGAGGAGGAGGGGAAGAGATCACGAAATGCGCTGGAGGCAGCCCTTCCTTCAACAGTTTAATGAAGGGGATCAGGCCTGTGAGGGAGAAGACGGAGGCGGCTTCTCTCGGCCATATTTTTACCCGCTGGGCCATAACCCCGAAGACCCCCATGGGCATTCACACCGCATTCATTCCTTCATCCAACCCATTTTTATCTTTCTGCAATTAGTCAAGAAAATTACAATCGATAGTCCTGTTATATGCATTTCATATTATGCTGGTCTTCGACCAAGCATTCATTCGTTTGGTGAGAGAATAAGTTCTTGGCCCTATATTCATTTTGTCACTGGCATATTTCCCCTTTGATAACTCGATACGGTATGACCAGCACGAAGATCTTCTGCAACGATACCCTAGTACGTACTACTGACAGCAAAACTTAGCCTCATTTAGCTCCGGATTTCTGCTGTTGAAACGGTTACGCAACGCAAAACAATCGTTGGATTGGGAACATGGAGCAATTAAAGTGAGTATAATAAGTCGAGACAACAGTTTTTCTCTCCTCATTTCCCACGGTAGCAGGAGTGGATCATCAGGTCAAGGAAGGGAAATTACGGAAAGCAATGGGAAGAACCTGGAGCAATTTTGGCCAAGAGTCAATGTGCAATTGTGCCTTTAGACTCTCTCTTCCCTCGCGGGCATGGAATGCGTGGAGATGAGAATGATGAGATGGGCAGTCCGGCACCTTGCTGCGAGCAAATATCTGCCTCTCTCTTCCCCCCCTTCGCTCTCTCTCATCGCAATGCTACACTTGTCCGCTCCTCCCTTGAGGCTTTACAAAACAACAAAGAAAAAAAAACTTTCCAAGAACAAACGTTGACCTGCAGTATCATCTTCAAACCAGCTCCCATCCCGGATGTGAAGCATCCCGGATAATCTATACACGGCATAAACCATGATGACGAAACCCACGATTCTAAATTGTGAAATCGTTGTTGTATGTCCAAGGCAGTGCCATGGGAAAAAAGTGGGAGTAAAAGTACAGCGTGGGGCGGGAATCACACCCCCAACCGGCAGCAATCTGATCTGACATACCATTCACCACGTAACGCAAGCTAACGCTATTTGGTAGACTGTACAATGAGATGGAACGAGACTTTATTCTGATTTTCAAAGTTTGAAAAGGGGACGTTACATTTAACGTCGATGCATGAC